CACTTTTGTCATAAACTGAGAGATCATATATAAATCCAGTTTTGGATGCTCCATTCTGTTCTCTTGATCCATTTTGATACCAATATAAAAATGGACACCTTTTGACTTTGGATTGGTATTGTAGTAAATTAGAGATCAGTTTGGGGGAATTGACAGCTTAACGATAGTGACTGTTCCAATCCAAAAACATGGCAAATCTCTCTTGTTTTTTCTTTCTTTTTGTATTACTGGAGACTGAATCTAGAGCCTTGTGCATGCTAGTTAAGTGCTCCACCTCCAAGCTACATTCCCAGACCATTTTATTTTATTTTATTTTATTTTAAGACAGGGTCTACCTAAATTGCTCAGGCTGGCCTCGAACTTGCAATCCCCTTCCCTCATCCTCCTGAGTAGGCAGATTTGTAAGTGTGCAATACTAGGTCCAGTTCTATATGATATCTTACTACATACGTGCTCAGTGCATATTCCTCAACATTTCTGCTCCTTAGAATGTAGATGAAAATCTCCCAGCCATGTCTTCCTCGATGACAGGGATCTTCTTTACAGTTTTAGTTTCCTCATTTTCTCCACATTTCTGAATGATTGACATTTCCAATAATTTCACACTTTTGTAGTACCTTATAGGCTTCAACAGAATAACATAAAAATATAACCCAATAACCCCAACATTTATACAATAAGCAACGTACCTATACATTACCAGCAGAGGAATATTTTCTCGAATCATCATTAATTAGGAAGAATATTGAAAACCAAAAGCAGGAAACAATATGCTTTTCCTTTTAGAAGACCAAGCCATGTGCCACCCTCAGACTATTGTGAATAGTTCTGGTCACCACACCCCAAAAAGGAAATACTATACAACTATTGGTGGAGAAAGCTCCAGGGTTTGATGGTTGAAAGGATGGAGGATTTCTTTATGAAGACAGACAGACACAAACAAACAAAAAATCCTTCAGGTATAAAAGGGAATAGCTGCAGTCCTTGATGTTAGAGAGACTAGGTAAAGTGCAGAAAGACCAAATCCTAGAATACAAGCTTGGCACCATCCCACTGACACCCCCCTCCAAGGTACTGGAGATTGAACCCTTCACATTGAGCTATATTCCCAATCCTTTTCAATTATTTTTTATGATGAGACAGAGTCTCACTAAGCTGCCCAGGTAGGACTTGAACTTGTGATCCTCCTGTTACACTCTTTCAGTGCTGGGACTACATTGATGCTTTTAAAAGATAAATTTAAGAAAACTTTTGCCTAGCCAAGGAAGTCCACAAAAATGAGTAGATGGTGGTTTATTTCAGGGAAGAAGCTATGCAGGGAACCTAAGGCTCTGTGCAGGTATGTTCTTATATTTCGAAGTTGACCCTTCTTACTGTCAAGATCCTACTTGAGGAGGGGCTGGCAGGCTAACTCAGCACACACTGTTCAGTTGACAGGAACACCTTGTGGAGATGTTCATTTCCTTTTGTTCATTCTCTGGTGGGAACAGAAACTTTTTACATAATTATGCCTCAGAGACAATGATTAAGTTAATTACTTCTCCAGGTTCAATAGTCGTAGTATCTTTTATTCATTTCTGCACTGGAGTTGTTAGCCATTTCCTCATTTCTGTGTCCTGTTTTGGCTCCTGTCCCAATTCTCTGTGTCTTTTGAAGGTTGTGAAATCCTAAACTTAACATAGATTCCAGCTAGAGCATTTGGAAAACAGTGTCTGCTGGGCAAAATGCTCTTTGTCAGCATCTGTGAAACACTGCTCCACTCATTTATGGGTATGTGCACACGCAGTTCTACTCATGGGCACACCCACGTTTACAAGCATGAGAAGGGCACCCATCTAGACCAGGGTAAGGCCTGATGCAATCCATAGGCTGCAGCTTCCCCAGTGTTTTTATCCAGAATAAATAAAGTTTAAATTGGCAGGAAAAGCAGAATCAAAGGGGAAAGACCTCACAAAATGGCAACTTGGATGGGATAGAAGGTCATAGCCAGGGAAGCTCAAGGGAGGTCAGAGACTATTAAGGGAGTAAAAGAATCCCTCTCATTGCCCTTGGGGCTAGGACTGTCACTGTTCAGGCCCCTGGAAGAAGGAACTGAGAAACCTCAAAGTTTGGTGCTTCAGATCTCAGTTTTCCATTACTATAATAAAGCACATTGGGTTGGAGACTTTATAAAGAAAAGAAATTTACTTAGCTCGAGATTTGGAGGCAGAAAGTCCAAATAGCATGGCACTGGCTCTGACAAGGGCTCTCCATCTACATCACATCATAGCAAACAGCATTAGCAAGTACATGCAAGAAGAGGAGATCAAATGGTGAAATAGGAAGCCACAAAGTGGGGATGGGTAGTCTCCTTCCTTTACAGCAAGCAACTTACTTTCTCAAAAATTAACTCAGGGTCCCAGGATAACTGCCTTAATCCTGCCCAAGGCCAGTGCCCCCATGATCTAATCAACTCTACCTCTTAAAGGTTTCACAACCTCTTAATATTGCTACATTGGGGACTAAGCTTCCAACACATAACCCTTCAGGGAACAAACTACATTCAAACCAACAAGAGCATTACATAGATTTCCTAAACTTCAGGAGAGCCCTGCACATATAAGACTCCTGTATGTACCACACTGTTTCAGACTGAGTTTTGAGAAGGGGAGTAGATGTTCCCCAGCTATTACCCTGTGGTCTTGAGTAAAGCTTCATAGTTTTTCTCAGGACTGCTTCAGACCATACATACCAAAGCCTATTTGCCTACTCAGGAAAATCTGAAACTTGGGTTTCTAAATTAAGCCAAGCCTGGAACTTAGCAGTTGCTAGGCAAGGAATCCCATTTAAAGAACCACAGAAATTAAAGCTTGGAAAAAAAATGTGTGGATCATATAGGCAAATGGATTTCATTCTGATAGTAGCTTCCCTTTCTGGGGAGGATAGGAGTCAGTTCCTCATCAAAAGCAGATAAGCTGGAACCATATTTAATTCATTTCCATTTTTATATAATATTTATGGGAACAAAATAGCTTCAATATAAAATGTTTAAAAACATTGATTTGCTTCATTCTACTTCCCCCAGATTAAGACTTCCCATTATCAAGCATATAATATTCAGATATTAGCTGGGTGTGGTGGCACATACCTGTAACTCTAGCAGCCTGGCAGGCTGAAGCAGGAGGACAACTAGTTTGAGCACAGCCTGGCAACTTGGCAACTCAGTGAGACCTTGCCTCAAAATTTAAAAAATTTTAAAAGGCACTGGTTAAATCCCCACTACAAAAAAATAAATCAACATTCACACGTAAGACAGCTTTAATTATTAACATCATCTTTTCCACTCTTAAGCTTTTATGGTTCTAATTATATCTGGCTAGTTAGGGAGCACTTAGAAACCATTCAGTTCCAATACTTCATTATACAGAGGAAGAAACTGAGGCTAAGTGAGGTGAAATAGTAGTCAAGTGAACAAAGATGAGGCATTCACTACCTAACAATGCAGTTATTCCAAAAGTGGAGTGAATATATTTAGTAATTGAAATAGCTTTGATCGTCACAACCCACCCTTTAGTTCAATTATTTCTGGGTTTGGTCTGGGCTCTGTAGACCTAAGGAGGGGAATAAGGAATGGAAAGTACAGCTCAGTACCCAACTGTAATCTGAATCAGTAGCAGAGTGAGAAATAAAAATGAGAAAGAGAAAACATCAGAGGCAGTGACAAAGGAGGCAGCTGGGGGTCCAGAGAGACTGGCAATCTGGTGTGTACATGTGTCTGTTCACCTAAACTCACCTCTGTTCCCATCTGGGATCTTCCCCCAAAGACTCCTGTGGTTGCAATGCTCTACCTGACCAGGTGACACCGATGAATAGCATCTGTTCAGGCCTTAAAACTCCTAAGAGGTCTTGGAATATGAGATGTGTCTCTGAATAGGGCATCCATTAGACAAGATAGTAAAATCCTAGAATCCCAGAGCTGGAAGAAACAATGAGACCATCCAGCCTATTACTCATATTACGTATGGGCAATCTAAGCTCCAAACAAGAGAAGTGAGCTCCCCTACATCATACAGCCCAGCAATAGGGCACACATTTCTGATGCTCAATCTTGTGTTCTTTCCCACGATGCAACAATAACTGAAATGGATATTGTGCTGGACACAATCCTATGGATATTATAAGGCAGTTACAGTTGTTATTATTATTACTATTCTTATTTTGTAAATAAAAAGAATGAGGCTTAGAAACATTGCTTGCCCAAATCTATACAGCCAGTAAGTAGTAAGGCCCAGTATTGCAATGCTGTCTGATTTAAAATTCTTTGTTCTACCTGATCAGGTCCCTCCTCTATAGGAAATACAAATTGGGCTGGAATTTGAGGAAATTCCCAAAATTGCCTACTGAGTTTTAGGACTGTTCTGGGACAAGAATAGGGAAGGCTCTTGGTGAAAGAGATCATGTTGTCTTCAGGTCCCTAAACTTTCCCTGTATTGGCATTGTCTTGTGACATGTTCTTTTCTTCAGGAATCTATGTTCCCATGCTTTCTCCATGTCCTGCTACTCCAATCCCCAATCAAGAAGAAAACTGACTGATTCACTTTGATGTTTAATGGCCTATAAGCTTCAGGAGATAGGGATTTCTGTCTGCTTTGCTCTTGATTTGTTTTAAGGCCATGGAAAGTACATGGCACATAGAAGGTGCTCCATAAGTATTTCTGTGAATGGAGAACATGGAGTGTGGACTAAGTGGAATCTTCCACACGAGGACAGCAACGGGATAAGTGCCAGAAAGGTGGGGGCAGGAGGAGGGCTTTGGGATAGCTGTGGGGCAAAACTGGAGAGCAGAGGCACAGCTTTACTACGGGAGAGGCAATGGCACCAGTAGGGAGGAAGCAGGATGTGGCTGGGAGCACAGGGTCCATGGGGCGAGGCATTGGGAGATTCACAGATTTAAAGGTGGGAGTGGGCTAAGGAGCCGAGGGCCTGACACAGCCCTCTTCCCCCTGGGTCTCTGTTCACAGACCCCCTAGAGGGGGTGAACATCACCAGCCCAGTGCGTTTGATCCATGGCACTGTGGGGAAGTCGGCCCTACTTTCTGTGCAGTACAGCAGCACCAGCAGCGACAAACCTGTAGTGAAGTGGCAGCTGAAGCGGGACAAGCCAGTGACTGTGGTGCAGTCCATTGGCACAGAGGTCATCGGCAACCTGCGGGCTGACTACCGAGACCGTATCCGGCTCTTCGAAAATGGTTCCCTGCTTCTCAGTGATCTGCAGCTGGCCGATGAAGGCACCTATGAGGTGGAGATCTCCATCACTGACGACACCTTCACCGGAGAGAAGACCATCAACCTCACAGTGGATGGTAAAGCACTCTGCAGGGAAGGAGGTGGGACAGGATCTGCTAGACCCAGGGAAAACCAACACAAAAGGCACTGGGATCAGGCATGGGGTGCACACTTGTAATCCCAGCTACTCTGCAGGCAGGAGAATCACAGGTTCCAGGCCAGCCTGAGCAACTTAGTGAGACCCTGTTCCAAAATAAAGCAAAGGGGGTTGAGGATGTAGCTAAGCACTTTCTGGCTTCAATCTCCAATACCAAGGAAATAAAATGGCACTGGGGACCTGAGTTAGTCAATGAACATTAGACGTTAGCACACACCACAGCTAATGTGGAGAGAGTGCTTATTACATGCTATGAACTATTCTAATACTTTGTTTATCTCAACTCATTTAATGCTTGAAATAATATAGGGATGGTAATTACATTCTCACCATTTTTCAGATGAGGAAAGCAAAGCACAGGAAGCTGGAGGAACTTTCCCGATCAACTGACAAAGTCAAGATTTGAGCACAGACAGTTGGGCCTAGATTTCCTTCCACTGGGTCAGTTTAAAATACTAATGCCCAGTAGCCTTGGAAAGGTATTTGGGAAGAAAGCAATGAAGGCAGACACCATGGCTCTCCTGCTCTGCATTGTTTTCCTTATGACCAGTAGGCACTTCCATATCTAGTGAACGAGTGATTGATGGGAGAGGTCTGGACTGAGGACCCCTGAAGGGTCTTCTCAGCCCACAGATTGAGCTATGATGTACTGACAGGTAGGGAGTAAAGAAGGGGAAGGGAGAAGCTTTGTAGTCCATGACTCACAGGTTCCTCCACCCCTGGGACTCAGTGCCCATTTCAAGGCCACAGGTGTTAGTGGCTTCAACCACAGTGCTGGAGCTCAGCGAGGCCTTCACCCTGAACTGCTCCCATGAGAATGGCACCAAGCCCAGCTACACCTGGCTGAAGGATGGCAAGCCCCTCATCAATGACTCGAGAATGCTCCTGTCCCCCGACCAAAAGGTGCTCACCATCACCCGCGTGCTCATGGAGGATGATGACCTGTACAGCTGCGTGGTGGAGAACCCCATCAGCCAGGTCCGCAGCTTGCCCATCAAGATCACCGTGTACAGTGAGTCTCCCAGCCCATCCCAACAGGAAGCTGCTCATGGGGACTAAGGGCATCCTAGAAAGTGGCCCTGGAGGGAAAGAGAGGGGCCAGGGATGGGCCAACTATTTAGGGAGGACAGACACAGGTAGAAAGAGAGTGTGTGCCAGTGCCACCACTGGCCAGACATGCTGCCTGGGGCTCCTTTCCTCTTCCTTCCGCTGCCAGGAGCTCTGCTTGCAACAGCTGTTGCCTACTCCAATGTCTCTCCCATCTCTCTTCTTCCTCTTCTCCTCCTTTTTCTCCTTCTCCTCATCCTCTTCTCCTCCCCCTCCCCTTTCTCTTTTTTCTCCTCCTCCTCCTTCTTTTCTCTGTCTCTCCCTCTCCTCTCTGTCTCTCTGTCTCTCTTTCTAGGAAGAAGCTCCCTCTACATCATCTTGTCGACAGGTGGTATCTTCCTCCTTGTGACATTGGTGACAGTCTGTGCCTGCTGGAAACCCTCCAAGAAGTCTAGGTAACTCCTCAAGCTCCACACCTCGAGCTCCTCAATCCTAAGCACTATTTTGTTTTTAAGTCTCTTAAAATACCTTTCCTCCAAGGCTGGGCACCTCCTCCCAGGACATCTGCCTTTCCATTTCAGGTGGAACTCTGTTGTGTGCTTACTGCCCGAAACCACCCCAGCACTGTTAATGGTTCCACTTGCAGACATCTTTGAGCTAGGCACTGTGTTGGGGGTAGCATGCATGCTACCTTTTAAGACTGATTACTTGCAGTTTACAGATAGACACTGAGACTGAGATCGGATAAGCGACTTGCCAACAGTCACAATGCTAGTGACAGCCTCAGGATGCAAACCTAGATGGACTCATTCCAAAGTTTATGAACCACCCGCTATTCCCACCACACACAGTCTGCTGTCCTGTCACGAAGCCTCTTTTATGGCCATCAGAACCTTCCCTGTGTCTTCCTCCCAAGATCTTCTCCTACTCACATTCAATAGCTCTGTTCTTGGTGGGGGGCTGGATCAATTTGCAGGAAGAAGAGGAAGCTGGAGAAGCAAAACTCCCTAGAATTCATGGATCAGAATGACGACCGTGTGAAACCAGAAGGTGAGCTTCCAGCCACCTACAGACCCAGCCCATCGGCCCTCAGATCAGTGGGCTGCTGGGAAAAGGCAGGAGTGGGTGAGGAAGAAGCCAACTCTGCAGGGCCCCTTCCTCCACCAGCTGCTCAAAGACTGCAGAGCAGGGAGAAATGCAGCCAAGGTAGGACCCCGAGGGCTCAGATACTTTGGTAGAGGCTGTGATCGAGTCCCTGATGGCCCTTGGGGAGCAGAGTGTAGATGCTGGGTGTGACCCCGGGTCTGTACCTGGGCCAGCCACCCCATACTTTCCCCTGTGCAGCAGACACACTCCCACGAAGCGGAGAACAGGACCGGAAGAACCCCATGGCGCTCTATGTCCTGAAGGAAAAGGTGAGTAGTTCTGGTGGGGACACCCCCACCCCCAAACGCCCAGTCAGCTCCGCCGCATCCTGAGGAGTCATGACGTATTGTTATCCTTTATTGTGGGATATTCCTGTCGTCCCCATGTTAGAGATTAGAAAATAAGACTGAGAGAGATGAAACGATTTGCACAGGATTAAACAAGTAAATGGCAAGTCTAGGTTTGAAACTAGATTTTGGACACCAACTCTGGGGTTTTCCTCACTATTGGAAGGCCATGCCGGAGGCTGTCCAATGCAGGTGGAGAGAGGAGTGACAAAGCAAGCAATGCTTGTCAACATTTACTGAACACCTATTATGTGCCGTGCGCCATGCTGAGTGCGGTTTAATGAGAGGAATGAGAGGAATGAGAGACTGGTGTCTCCCCGGCGCCCTCTAACGGAGACGCGCTCCCGTGTGGGGCTGGCTGTCCGGTGACCTCTGCGGTGTGTGTCTTTGCAGGACTCCCCGGAGTCTGAGGAGAACCCCGTTCCGGAGCCTCCTCGGAGCGCATCGGAGACTGGCCCTCCCAGCTACTCCGTGTCGCCGCCCATGCCGGGCCGCTCCCCAGGGCTGCCCATCCGCTCCGCCCGCCGCTACCCGCGCTCCCCGGTGCGCTCCCCGGCCACTGCCCGGAGGCACTCGTCGCCGCCACGGGCTCCCAGCTCGCCAGGCCGCTCGCGCAGCGCCTCGCGAACACTGCGAACTGGGGGTGTGCACATAATCCGTGAGCAAGACGAGGCTGGCTCGGTAGAGATCAGCGCCTGAGCCCCCCGAGGGATCCCCACCCACCCGGGGATCCCCACCCACCCAACACCTGGCACCCACTTCTGGGGCTGGCGGCCCGAAGGGTCAGGAAGTCAGGGTGCTGCCAGAGAGGGGTAAGGGGGGGGTCAAGGCTGGGACGCAGGTGACTGGGGTGCAGATGTGTGTAAGCATGAGCAGATGGGCGGGGGGCGTCGCCACAGCGAGGCAGAGATTTGATCTGGTGGTGGAACCAGGTTACCTTTGCTCTGGGTTTACTGGCTATGTTCTCAGTGGGCCTAGGTTGTGCCCCCTTAGGACCATATAGATTATGACATTTCCAGCTCAGTCTCTAAAAGGATCTTATGGAAACTAACATCAGTAACCTAACCCCCTGACTCTCCTGTGCTCTTCCTAGGGAGCCCTTATGCTTCCCACCCACTTTCTTTTCACCCCAACCAAGCCTGATTCTGGTGCATCCCACTCCATACACACCATATGAAAGAGACCACTTGTCCAAAATGTACAACTATACTTCACTAAGGAGAAGCCAGTCAGGCAGAGGTTACAGGCTTACAGAGGCTCTGCTGAGCTCCAAGGAACCTTTGTGAAGGCAGCAGCTCAGAGCACCTCCTTGGGGACACTGGGTCCTGGGTCTTACAAGGTGATGTGGGAGGAGCCCAAGCATGTTCCTTTGCCCCCAGACCAGGGCCCTGACAATGCAAACCCCTCAAGTCTCCGCTGTGCTTGGCCTTTTCCCAAAGCCTCCCTTGGTGGCCATGTCCCGTGTCCTGTCTGCATCATGCCATGCCAAGCATTCTTTGTCTCCCTTCATGAAAAGAAGAGGTGAGTGGGCTTCCTTTCTTAGAGAAGTGTGTGCACACTCACTCCCTTCACCCAGAAAGCTAGATCAAATGGGGAACTGTTCTTGAGCCTCACACTTGCACCTCCTGCCCTACAAAACAAGCCTTTCAAACAATCGCTATCCCGGAGACAGTTGTAGAGCTTCCTCCAGCTGTAAGAGAGTAAGATTCTAATCTTCAGAGAAATGATGGGGGAGGAGGAGGCTTACTGCTCCCCAGTGTGTCAGGGTAATAACATCCAGCAGCCCTCCACACACACACACACACACACACACACACACACACACACACACCTGCCTTGTTCCCAGACTCTCACACCCTAGGCCACTGGACAGGGCAGACTCCCTAATCATACTAATACCGAATACCGAGAGGCTGGGCTGTGCTCTAGCCACCACCTCTTTGAACACTTTGGAGGAGGAAAGAGGACAGTTAAACGGCTGTTAGAGAAGGAGGCCCTGGGTGTTTCACTTCAACCTCCCTAATGCCCCCAGAGGCTCTCATCTGCCCGTTCCCTCAACTCCTAACCTGCAGTTCTGACTCTCCACCATCCCAGGAGCAACTCCCAAGGCCCCAGGATCCACCACCTCCACACAGGGGCACAAAGATTTCTGATTTGTCGCCCCTGTCCTCAGTGCCACAGTATTCCTCTCACTCTGTCCCTGTGCACTTCAGTAGGCCCACGTGAGCAGTGTGTTTTTGCAGCTCCTCTAGGCAGCCTGAACTGCTTCCTTAGCCTTCCGGGGTGAAGCACCCATCCTAGATAATGCATGGAGGGGAAAGCTGCTCAGGCCAGTGTGAGCGATAGATGCCAGACTTGAAGAAGGGGTGCCTGCTGGTCAGCCTGAGACACAGTAGAGGAGATGAGAGCATGCCACACCCTGGTGCTGAATCCCTGAGAGCCATCTTCCCAGGCTCAAGCCAAATCTGCCTTACACTAGGGGGTGGAGAATAAGGGCATGGGGTTTTGTTTTTGTTTTGATCTTCATCTTTGTATCACTAGCATCTAGCAAAGTGTGTAGCACATACTGGATGCTCAATAAAGTTTTGATGAAATGACAACTTTATTCCCCTCAAGCAAGGAGAACAAAATGAACAACTTAAACATACCGGTTATTTCCTTTTTATCTTTTCTTCACACCTTTTTTCACCATCCTATACCTTCTTTCCAAAGCTCAAACTGTCCACTCCAAAACCATCACCCATTCATTTATTCATTCATTTTTTATTTATTCATTTATTCATTCATTTTGTTTTTATTCACAAACATTTGTTTATCTACCATTGACCAGGCCCTATGCTAGATGCTGGTGTAACCGTGCCATGATCCCTACCCAGAAGACAATCTCATGAAAGATAGATAAGCAGATTATTACAACATAGTGTGTAAGATGCAATGATAGAGGTGGATACAAGGTACTCATGGGACCATGTGAGAGTCGGCCTGCTCACAGTAGGGGCTGTCAGCAAAGATATCGAGGAGAACAGGGCTGAACCTGATCTTAGAAAGATTAGGCAGGCTTAATAAAAGAGAAGAGGACACATTCTAAGCAGAGGGAGAAACGTATATAAAATCTTGGGAGTGTGACACACATGAAGAATTCAAGGTACCACACTACGGCAGTGGACAAGATCATTTTAGGAGAATGTATAGAGTGGAAAGTGATTTGGGTTAAAGATACATCTCTGAGCACATCATTATGTGAAGTTATGTTAAAAGGACCTCACCTAGAAAGCTAAAAAGGCACAGCCAGTAGCATAAGAAGAAATAGAGGTGATAATGGCATCACACAACCAAAGGAAAAGGTTTTGCCAGGCACAGTGGTGCATGCCTGTAATACCAGATACTCAGAGGCTGACAGGAGGATCACAGGTCCAGCCCAGTCTGGAAAATTTAGTGAGAACTTATCTCAAAATAAAAAAGGTTAGAAATGTAGCTTAGTGCCAGAGAAAACTTGGGTTCAATTCCTAGCACTGGAAAACAAAAGGATTTCAAGAAAGAGGGAGAATTTAGGAATGGGAGGGTCATATATGAAAGTATTGAAAGTACACATTAGGGCTGGGGTGTAGGTCAGTAGTGGATCCATTGGCTAACATGATGAAGCCCTGGGTTGCATCCTCCACAAACCAAAAACAACAAAAATGCAAGTTGAATTTGGCAACAATGGGATTATGAACAAAATGAAGTTAAAAACTTAGGCAAGGGCATGGTGACACAGTGCTGTAATCCCAGCCCTCTGACAGGCCGAGGCAGAAGGATGGTGAATTTGAGCCAAGTCTGGGTAATTCAACAATTTATTGTGTCTCTGTCTCAAAATAAAAAATAGACAGGAGTGGTGGTGCCTATCTGTAATCCCAACAGTCAAGGTTGAGGCAGAAGGATCACCTAAAGTTTGAGGTCAGTCAGGCTACATAGTGAGTTCAAGGTCAGTCTCAACTACACAGTGAGACCCTGTCTCTAAATAAATAAAATAAAATAGACCTGGGATGTAGTTTAGTGCGAAGGCTCTGGTTCAATCCTCAGCGCCATGGAGAAAGAAAGGAAAGAAATAGAAAGAAAGAATGAATGAAAGAAAGAGAGAGAGAGAAGCAAAGAAGAAAATTCCACAAAATGAATGTGAAAACTTGAAAAAAATCCTAGAAAAATGCATTTTACCAAGATGGACTAGAAAAGAATTAGAATGCTTGGGCCGGGGATTTAGCTCGGTGGTTCCTCCGCCTGCCTCGCAAGCACAAGGTCCCGAGTTCAATCCCCAGTACCAAAAAAAAAAAGAATTTGAACACTTGACTAGTCTTGTGACCATGAAAGAAATTGAATCGAAAAAGAAATTAAACTATTCCTTATTAAACTAATCATCTTAAATTGTTTTATAGATAAGCTCTATCTAGAAACTGATTATTTCCATTTTATACAAACTTCTCCAGGAAATGTAAAAAGATTGAATGAGTTTCACTGCCTGCTGTACAAGCACAAGGACCTGAGTTCGATCCCCAGTACAAAAAACCAAAAAAAAAAGAGTGAATGAGTACTCTTGAACATATCTTATGAGGCCAGCAAAACTCTAATATCAAAATGAGACAAGAAGAGTACGAGGAAAAAAATTACAGGTCAAGCTCATGAAGACAGATGAAAATATTCCCAATAAAATATAAGCAAAATAATCTAAAATGTGTAAAATGGGTTTCAATCACAATCAAACTCTATGCCAGAAATGGAAGAATAATGTAACATTAGGAAATTCTTAAATATCATTTGGCACATTAACAGATTAAAAGAGAAAAAGTACCTCAGTAGGTGCCCAAGAATCATTTGTAAATTTTAATTCTTAATCATGATTAAAAGCTCTTAACAAACTAAAATAAAAGGAAAAAATTTTGAGCCTAATAAATAGTACCTACAAAAAACAATAGCAAGCATCATTCTTACTGATGAAACATTAGAAATATGACTTTTTAAGTGAAGAAGTAAATAAAAATACAATCACTCCTGTATTTAATATTGTACTGGTAAAACAAGAAAAATAATATTATAAAGATTGGAAACAAAGAACCTGTAATCCCAGTACTCCAGAGGCTGAAGCAGGAGGATCACAAGTTTAAGGCCAGCCTGGGCTACATAGTGGTACCTTGTCTCAAAAAAAAAAAAAAAAAAAAGAAAAGAAAACCAAAACTACCATTGTGTTTAAGTTATGATTTTCTACATAGAAAACTTAGTTGACAAACTATTAGGATTATTAGTAATATCTGGATATCTCAGTTCTCCATCTGTAACAAACCACTCCAAAATGGAGTGACTTAAAACAGGAACAATTGTCCAGCTACACTCTTCAGACAGAAGACTAATATCTAGAATAAAGAATCCCCCCCAAATCAGGGCCCCCAAAATAAAAGACCCAATAAAAAAATGGGCAACTGAAATAAATTGACACTTCTCAGAAAAAAGTACAAATGGCCAATAGGTAAATGAAAAAATGTTCACCATCTCTGGCCATTAGAGAAATGCAAATTAAAACAACACTGAAATTCCATCTTACTCCAGAAAAAATGGCCATCATCAAGAAAGCAAACAATAACAAATACTGGTGAGACTGCAGGGAAAAAAGAGCCCTTCTACATTGTTGGTGGGAATGTGAATTAGTACAACTGATACCAGAATGCAGGGTCATGCCCTACAGTGATTAAGAATGAAATGGAGGACAGAGGAGGCAGGGCACAGGCAAATTTACTTAAAAGATATGAAGGCAAGATAGCTCCAGCTAGCCTGGAGAAGGTTCTGAATATGACACCCGTGAAAGTTCTTTGTCTAGGGGTTTTTAAAGGATTTATGTATTTTTAAGGGATTTAGAAGGGATCTCGGGCCATTGTGTAAGCAATATAATCTCCATCCTATAGGACTCTACATATTTTTTAAGGTGCAATCTATGTAGTGTTTATGCACCCTTGAGCCAGTGGTCTGCCTGATCATGCGCTGGAGAGGTCCCAGACAGCCAAAGAACATCTGGCAGATGTTCTTGTAAGATCCTTGGAGAGTTGTGACTCAAAAGACTTCATTTTGGACTTCTAGGCTCTATTTTGGGACTACTGTCCTTACTGCCTAATAGAATCCTAACTGTAGTCCCACTAATTCCTGTTACACATCCACTGTGGAAATCAGTATGGAGATTCCTCAAAAAAACCCTAAAATTAGAAATTCAATTTGCTCCAGCTATTTCCCTTCTAAGTATCTTTAAAAAGAGTTAAAGTCACGGCTGGGGACTTAGCTCAGTGGTGCCGTCACCTGCCTTGCAAGCTTAAGGTCCCAAGCTTGATCTCCGGTACCAGAAAAAGAGTTAAAGTCATCATATTACAATGATACATCCATACCTATATTTATAGCAGCACAAATCATAATAGCTAAATCTTGAAAGCAACCTATATGTCCATTAACAGATGAATGAATAAAGAAAACACCGTGGGCCAGGGATTTAGCTCAGTGGTTTCACCGCCTGCTGCACAAGCACAAGGACCCATGTTCGATCCCCAGTAGCAAAAAAAAAAGAAAGAAAAAAGAAAAGAAAACATGGTACTGTATTTATACACAATGGAGTACTACTGTGGTGTAAAGAAGGATAAACTTGAGTCATTTGCAGGAAAATGGATGCACTTTGAGACCATAATGTTAAGTGAAATAAATCAAACCCACAAGCTTAAATATCACATGGTTTCCCTTATTTGAAAAATCCAAAGTATAAACAAATTAAAAAGCAAAATAAAATATAGATAATAGGAAACAGGGAATTAGATCTTTTGCAAATGGGAAGGGCACGAAAGGGTGGAGGAGGACAGGGGGAAGGAGAAGTCAAAAGAATTAAAATATGCTGTGTACATGTACCAACTCCCCATGTTGAATATAATCATTATGTATTGCAAATATGAACCAACAAGAAAAAAAAAATTTTTTAAGGAAAGTTTGAGCCCAGACAAAACAATTTAATAAATTTGTGAGCTGCTGTCTCAAAATTAAAAACAGGGCTAGAGGGCTGGGGATTTGGATCAGTGGTTCTTCCGCCTGCCTTGCAAGTGCAAGGACCCAAGTTTGATCCCCAGTATCAAAAAAAAAAACAACAGGGCTGGGGATGTAGGTCAGTTGAAAGGCTCTGAGTTCAACCCCTAGTATTGCTCCCCCCCAAAAGAGTACTGTTATTATCTGTTGATTAAAATTTTTTTAATTTAAAAAAGTAAGGGCTTTGTGGTACAGGCCTATAATTTGGGAAGGTGAAGCAGAAGGACTGCAAGCTAGAGCCCTGCCTGAGCAATTTAACAACTTAGCCAGAACTTGTCTCAAAATAAAAAATTTAAAAAGAGCTGAGGGATATGGTACACTGCTGTAATTACAGCACTCTGTGAGGCTGAAGCAGGAGGGTCAAATTTCAAGACCAGCCTGGACAACTTAGTGACATCTTGCTCCCCCCCAAAAAAGGATTGGAGATGTAGCTCAGTACCAGATACCAAGGCCTTTGATTTAATCCCTAGTACTGAAAAAAAAATTAAATTAAAAAAATAAAAAATAGCCAGGATGTAGC